CACCATGAGCCAGAAGGGGTGGAATCACGTAAGAGTGAGTTAAGAGATGGGGCCAAGCTCGCAGGAGGCCTGACTGCGGCACGGGAACAAGCCCAGAGCGAGGGGAGAAGATGCTACAGCAGCGAGCTGACCCCGTCCGCACGCTGAGCCCGCCCCTGCCCTCACGTCTGGCTACAAGGAGAAGTTGTGGGTTAGTAAAAGCGTGTTTTGAAGAAGAAAACCCCGGCGCCGAGTTACAGGAGATACTTTACAAGTAAAAACAAAGAGTTTGAAGAATCCTCAGGTTTTTCAGAGCGACTCTACGTTCCTTTCCTTGGTTCAAAGTCCCAACATTGAAGCTGTGGTCACCAATAGCTCACACAGGGCTGCAAACACAGGCTGAGAGCAGGAACACTCCACAGAACACAGACACCAGGCGGAGGGTGAAGGCAGCGTGACTGACTCTTGCCATTTTTAAGTGATCCTGGAAAAATGGAGCCTTCCCTCTCTTCTCTTCACAGCGCTTCCCCCTCTGCACAAGGGACTAGCCCTGTCAGAACACTAGTTCAATTCATGGTGCGGTTTTATTTGACAGATTCACTGCAGAAATAAGGAGTTTAAAAATGATGGAGCCCTTTCAAGGGTGGTGGTGGGGAAATACTGAACCTTTAGCTTCTGCAAATGTAAAAACAATGTGTATTTGCAAAGTTCAGGCTGTAATATACATGCATTATTGCTAAAGGGGGGGAAAAACCAGATGAATGAAAACTCTTCTCTGCAGCTTTTACGGTGCCATCCAAAATGGCATCTGTTGTTTAGCTCGCTGTTGTGAGGAAGGGTACTGGTACCCCAAACTCCATCCCTGTGAAAAAGTACTTGCGTTTTTATGGCCCCCGTGTTCCTCCTCTTCATCTGATGAATCTCCAGCATATGCCACTAAGCCAAAGCCCTTTTCTGCAGTTTTCATCTTCTTTGCTTGATGATCTAGGAGGGGAAAACAAAACAACCCCACCCCCAGCCCCCGAGAAGGGAGAAATCAAAATAAAGAGATAAAATGCCCCAAAACAAGTTAATAAAAAAAGACGTTAATTGTAAATCGTTAGTTGGACACCATTTTGAGGTCACAAGGCCAATGGTCATCCAAGGTCGAAGGCCACACGAAACAGCAGCAGCAACAGCACATGTGATCCATCAGAACCATGTAAGAGAACAGAGAAAGAAGAAAGAAACACACAAGAAAGGTAAAGTTAGCAACTGGGTGTCAGCGATGGCAACGTCACCGTTACAGAGATCAATACGTCAAGAAAAGCAGAAACTCTGCTCAAAAGCAAGCTAAGAGGAGAACAACCTCTGGGAGCAATACTGCAGAGAAACTAGGGTTAAACAGGCTAACGTGATGTACCTGCACACCTGCAGGGCACCGAACTAGCACAAGAGTTCAAGGGATGACATGTTCTACCAAGTTGCAAATACTTGCTGTGTGACAGCCCTGAGAAAGGATGAGATCTGAGAGCACTTGTGTCATTTGCAGACATAACTCATGTCTGAGCATACACACCTGAACCATAACTCCCACCGACACGCCTTAGTGCCTCTAGAGAGAGCTGTTCACAAAGTAAAGCCACAGGACATCGGTGTTACAAAACAACCCCAGGAGACTCTGTGCCTCAGCTGGCTGATGGGCCAGAAAATACCTGTCCTTCACTCCAGTACACTCCCCTCATTCATACAGGTATTTATTCAGGTTCTAAGAGAAGCATTGTGTGTTTAATCACAGTGGGTTTAGAGCAGTGCAGCATGAGCTGCTTTACACCTAGACAGTCTAAAGAACAGCCAAAAAGAACCCCACTGCTTCAAACAAAGGCTAAGACCAGTGTAAACCCATGTGGGAAAGGAAACTTGACTTACAAGTGTCTTATTCACTGCACTCACCATGGCTGCCTGGTAAAGACCCCGCACCATTTCTGTCTTCCGAGTCCGATTTCATCCCAGTGACAGGAAAAGCTGGCGGAGGCATCAACTGCCTGTTCAAACCAAAGCAAGCCCTTAGTTCTTCTGGTTTAAGCAAGCAGAGAGTCAAAGGTAACAGCAAACAAGTTCAGAAGCCAGTCCTTGACCTGAGGAGCTTAACTTTTAATTGCCTGACTGATCTAGTGGTCTTCTAGGATGGAGTGACTGCACCAGTGGACAAGGGAAGAGCAACTGTCACCCACCTGGACTTCTGTAAAGCTTCACTATGGTCACCCCAACGTTCTCAGCTCTAAATCAGAGCGGAATGGATTGGACGGATGGACTATTAGATGGGTAAGGAATTGGCTGAATGGCCACATCCAAAGAGTTATAGTCAACGGCTCAGTGTCCAAGTGGGAACCAGCAAGGGTCCGCGCTGGGACCGATACTACCTGCTATCTTCATCAATGAGCTGTGTGAAGCAAGCCGGTCTAGTAGCTGTCCCTTCCCATAGGAGAGGGGGCTGGCCTAGATAATCTTTAAAGGTCCCTTCCAAGCCAAACCATGCTCTGGAGCTATTTGACAGGCAAGCCTGACAGGTCTGTGGCTCACCACACTGGAGCGCATAAGGAAGAGTAGTGATGCCTGAAGGCTTCATAGCTATTGCTATGCCCAATTTAGGACCACGAACAAGACTGAGAATGTGGAAAACACTCCCAATACCCTTGATGTATTTCCTAACACCAGAAAACAAAGGGACCATCAAGTAGATCTTTCCCTGAAGCTTTAGAGTGCAAAACACCGAGTTTACAACTTTGTCAGGTCTGGTTTAAACTGGAATCATGTCAAGTGCAAGTGCTGACCTATTCCACGTGAGTATCTCAAGAAGTTGGCACAACATGCTCAGATGAAGTAAGAGCAGACTTTGGGAGGAGTGGATACGAAGCTATTTCCATTATGTAGCAGGAAAAGGCAGCCCTTGCACCCCTTCTCCCTCAAACCCACGAACCAACCAACCCCCCTCCAGCCCCCAAGTCCCAGCAGAGAGCATGAAACACGGATCAGCTCGGAAACAGGCTTTCCATCAGGACCAGGAGAGACCCGAAGGTAACCCTGCCCTCACTCACCTGTCCCTCTCTCTCTCCTTTCCTGAGGAACTTGCTGCCTTCGACCCGGCTCCATCGAGTTCACTCTGACTGGAGAAGCCTGTACCTAAATTAGTCATATGAATGGGTCCATGCTATGAGCAGAAAAACACACGGCATTAGCAAATCTACCACTACAACATAAGCTACAGCTCCTTAATGATAATGACAGGAAAGCCAACTTTTCAGAGCATACTGCCAACTAGCAGAAGAAACCACTGTTAAACTAAAGGCTTTCTCCTAAAACTACTGAGGGTAATGCAGTGAGGAACACGCCTGAGAAGCACGAGGGAAGACACCTCATCACCTACTCCACCTTCTCAGTAGTAGCTTTAGGTCATGGAGCAACTTATTCCCTCGGCAGTCAGCTAATTCTGAGCACTGTACAGGCCACGTGCCACAGCAAACTCTGCTGGAGACAGTAACATAGGTCTAACAGAGAGGCAGCTGCTTATGGTCTCCAGGCAGAGTTCTGCCCGTGAGCAGGGGTATATCTGAGAAGTGTTTGCAGAAACTCCCTTTTCTCACATCCAAGCCTAAGAACTCAAAATTACTTTCATTAAAATCAAGTGGTTTGCTATCTAAACCAAAAATAACCATTTCTAACTCAGGCTGCTTGAAATCCTCTCAAGTGCAACCTGCAAGGAAGGTAAATGGGGAAAACCTGGGAGTTATTACCACAGTTCCCTCCCACCCCTCAAACAAGCCTGAAAAAGACCCCCCAAATCCCAGAGAATCTCCCTTTAAACTAACCAGAAACACACTATGGGCATCTCTTTGACCTGAATGCACCAGTAGCCTTCAGGAAAGATTGAGGTATGAACACAAAGTGCCAATGCAGCAGCAAGTCACAGTTTAACAACAGTGCATCCACTCAAAGAAACCAAAGCGTGGTCTTGAGGCTGTGCAATGACTGCTGCCATCTGCCAAAGGCCTTGCACGACTGTTTGCAGATAAACTGTGCTAAATCATCTCTCTGCAGCCAAGTTCTGGTTTGGTGAATGAAGTAAAACTGGTGATTTTATTCCACCTGGTATCCCAGCAGTCCTGACTCTCTCTCATCCGGCAGCTCCTCAGTGAAGCGTCTCTTTTGAGCCTGGGGATGGGGCTGGACCTGGGGCTGGGTACCAGTCGGCATGGTGCTTTTAACTGGGGCAGCAGGAAGGAAAGGACCACTCAGGGGGCTCTGCCAAGCACAAGTTGAGACAAAAGACAAGAAAATTGGGTAATAGGCATACAAAGTATTCATCAAATGTAACTTTCATACATAGGAGCAGAACACACAAGTTCTTGGCAGAACCTAAGAGAAACTAGAAGGAAATTCACAGCTTCAAGATGAAACAAGTATTTCATTTCCAGAAACTAATCCCTATCTGTAACTCAGACTCACTGTACCTACACAGAGCTGCATCAAAGCCTGTGGTGACACTCTTCCTATGGGAGTGAGCACCCCCTGCAAATATCCTTTATGTTCACAGGATATGAAAACTGGAGGATGAAGCAGCCAGTGAACAATGTAATTGCTCAGACAGAAGTATCAGCAAAGCATTAACAAATCAGAAACACCCCAGAGAATTCTCCATCTGGAACTACTTCAAGTGTTTTCTTGTTAGCAAAGAAACGACTTAATAAGTTGACAGCTACAGGGCAGATTAACTGTGGCAGTACCTGGCCAGTGCTGGCTGGAGGCTGTACTTGAGATATGGGATACTGTGTTGGCACAGGCGGAACTCCTGTAGGTAGCGTTGTTAAGACTCCAGGTGCCAAAGGTACTGCAGGTGGAACTATGCCTGGTACCCCATAGGGTGGCTGGACTGGTTGTTGAGGAGGGGGAACAACAGGATAACCAGACTGATAGCCATTGGAAGGGTAATAGGAGGGCTGGGAAGGTACGCTGTTGATAGCGGCAGGCTGTGTGAAGCCTAGAGAGAGAAAACCAACATCTTCGATTCAGGTCGTCACCAAAACACCGCATTTCATTGCCAAAAATGAAGGGTTGTAAGTTGGAGACTTCCACAAAGCCAACTGCAAGTACAGCTCTGCAGAATGCAACTCCAAATGCTTCAGCACTGCTGAGGTTTACCTGCGAGGGGTACTGCAGTGGTTATCTGATTCACAAATCGAGAGTACTCAGCATGAACCTACAAGGAATTGGCAGAGATTAGACAAGAAACATTACGTAGTATATTAACCTTTTGCAGGCAAAAGGCATTTGACCACACAACTAAGGGGGCTTTGCTTCCAGAACACAGCATGCAGGGAGACAGCAATAATCCACACACACAGAAGAAAACCCCACTCATCCTGCTGGGCTCTGGGACAGACTCCTCTAACACCCAGGATAATCCTGCACAGGAAATCGAGTGGCAAATGAATCACTTCAGTCAGAGAAGCTACAAGCTTCCATCTGTTCGTCAGAAGAGAGCTTTGTAGCCCCTACTCCATCACCAACACTAACAGAAAGACTCAGCAGTACTTGGGAGGGAAAACACCATCAGCAAGTCAGGACACACGGACAGTTTTGCTGAGAGCACACAAAGCAGCAAGAGCCAGGCACACACTGGAGCTGGGACAGGCTCTGCAGCCCCGAGTTGTAACAGCTACTCACGGTTTGCAATAGGTTCTCACACAGCTTTTTAGCAGCTGCCAAACCTTCTGGCTTTGGGTGACTGCAAACACACACAAAGAAATAGCTCATAAGCACAAATGTTTCTGTGAGCTCCTTCTTTCATCAGCAACCTGCTGCCAGGCCTTCCCCCTTAAACGAGGGCTCAGCCACCTCGACAGGACTGCAGCAGCTCTGCACATTTAGCACAATGGGGAACAAAAGCTGTGAGCGTTTTCTACATGAAAATTCAGGTCTAAATACTACAAGAAACGTTGACAGAACACTGACTTGATTGCTCAATACATTTGTATCCTTCCCTTAAAGCTTGACATCACAACTCGAGCCCAAAAAGGACGCAGCTTCACTGTGTTCCAACCAAAAGCAATACCTTGTGGTTGAATATCACTTCACACCACATCACCTTGTGTCCGAAATCTTTATCACTTTAGAGGGAGCTCTACTAAAAGTCAGGTTTCGTTTGCATTAAGTCAGTCAGAATTAAGAATTCCCCACCCCATGAAACATTAAGCCACAGTCGTGCCTCGGCACTGGGGTTTCTGTTTGTTCTCAACACCCCTCGTACCTGATGTAAATGTACATGGGTTCAAAAGCTTCTCTGCCCGATGCTGGTTCTATGCAACCTGAGCCTTTGCCACGAAGAAAGACTTTGGCACCCGTTTCAATCTGAATGTGCTGCAAATAGGAGCAACCAGGCCCTTCCACCTTCTCCTTCACATTAAACGTAGGTACAGCGTGTTCCAGTCCCACAAATAACTTGTCCTGAACATAATGCATCTGTAAATGTAACAGTAAAAGCTTATCATTTCACTCTAAGAATGAGGCTACAAATCTTGTTCCTGTGACAGGCAAGTGTCAGATGGCACAGTCAGCCCTTTGCTGTTCTGTAAGCAGGACTGCTCTCTCCATCCCTTTTCTTTTAGGAGGCTGCTGTCATCTGAGCCTCACTCTTCAGGCTCAGTTTGATCAGTCCTCCAGTTTCCACACACACAATGTACACTTTGTAAGAGGGAAATCTTGTCATCAGTGATATTCAATGAAATTCACAGCAATTCATTACTCACCCCTGACTGGAATGGAGGTTTTTGGCCAACTGCTGGAGACAACTGAGTAATAGGGGCTGGCTGGTGATAGACAGTAACTGTAGCTCCGTTGAACGTCGGACTAGAACCTGTAGCTGCTTTCACTACTCCATTAGTAATGATCTCTTTAATTCTGTTAACAGCTCCTAGTTGACAGAACAGGAAATTCAGCTGTTTCGGCCCTTGCCAACTGTGCAGATTACCCAAATCTAGTACCAGCATTCCACTGGATCACAAAGGATGCAACAAGCACCAGGGCTCTTTCTCCACTCTCACCCTGCTAAAGCTTAGGCTGATACATGCAGGGGGGCAGTTTTAGCCCACACATTTTGGCAACTGCTAGAAACATTTACATTAACCCTGTGTAGAACTTACATCTGCTTGTATGAGCAAACGTGAAAGATTTTATAGTTTCCCTTTTCTTTTTCTCCCAGAAGGCACAGGCAAGACAGTTCTTTGTGCTTCTGATAGTCATACTTGTATATATACCCCTGTCACACACCTATTGTAATGGAATCTCGGCGTGTTATCACTGAATAAACTTATACATAAGACCTGCACCTGCCTCCATCCATTCCCCCACTTTCCTTGTGGTCTGTCACAAGTTTTAGTGTCATGACTGATGCAGCAGGGAGCACCTCTGGTAGAGAGCTTAACATCAGCGTCTGAATGGGGTCTGTCACGGACACCAGGATAGTTACAGTACAAATCCATGCTGCTCATAACAAAGGCCCTTAATCACCCCTTTATCACAAGTAATGATAGAACAGCAGAGTTCATTGTGCACTTACTGTCGACCAGTTCCCGTGTCTGACCCTGCACGTGAAGGTACAAGGGACGATCTCTGGAAAGGAAATGTCAAATACTCCACTAAACCCCCAAAGAACACACAAGAACGGATCCAATCTAATATCCATTCACTCATGTCACAGACAACAAAGCCTTCATACACTTTGTTTTCACCTCTCAGTATTAGGCAGGTGGGATAAGAGCCATGCACTTAGTGCTACACTGATAACAAACATACTCCAAACACTCAACTCTCCATTGACTCTGGCACCCAGAGGTGACACTGCTCAGGAAAACCAAACCAAAAGCCCCACCACTGAGCCCCCAGAGCAGAAACCCCCAAAGAGAAATACAAACCCTGGTCCCACTTTGGCTTTCTCTTCTGCTGTCATGAACCTCCCTCGGGTCGACACAGCCGCTCCACTCAGTCGACTTATCTACAAAGGACCCCAAACCCCAGGGACAAGTTTAGCAACAAGAAACCAAGCACAGAGAAACCCCAAAGTGTTTAAGCTTCGTTGGGTTCTAAAGAGACCAGAAGCACTAATTAAGTGGTAAGAAAAGGGATGGTGCCCACTGAAAGATACCAACTGTGCTACCTTAGCTCATCATATGACATTGTGTTGAGTAAACCACCAAACAAAGTGTCTTCAGAAAACCCTGAGCTTGGCAGAAAGGAAACCACCACAGAATAGAGTCAATGGCAGCTCTTTTAGCCTTGCAAACAGGCCCAAATGGGCTGCCAAGCCTAACAAACCAGACGTAGGTCCTGACCATACCTCATCCTGAGTCTGTCCTCTTGTCAGCAGGTTTCTGCACGTGAGGGGGACGTCATTGATTTCCACCTCTGCCACCACAAGGTCATCTTTGCTTTTACTTGTAGCTGGACCTTTTCCCAGCGCCTGCAGCTTCAAAGAGAATCATTGCAAAAGACCAGAAATAGATAGAAAGCGGAGATAAACGATGCAACAACCTGACCCTGGTACTCTAAGGTGAACATCCTTTTCTTTCTCCCTCTTCAGCTGTTGAATCTTTACAAACGTTAACAGAAAGCACATTACATCTACTACTTCATCATGTACCTCTTCACAACGTTGAGCCTAAATAAAAACACTAGTTTTATCTTCAGCACATCAGAGTATCGTAAGTAACTACTGCTTCTGTTCTATAAATAGAGAAAACAGATGTAGAACTAAGCAGCAAAGTTGCTCAAACTGAAACCAAGGCATCTCACACTTGAGCTGGCACCTCGGGCAGAAAGCTGTGCCTAAGAACACCTGGAATTCATATTTCAACTCCTCTTAGACATAGAACTCCTGTTCGAGATCTGAACTCAGCCACACCACGACTACACTTCCCCCTCACACACACTTCTCGCTTTAAAACAAGGACCTAATGTTTTGTGTCAGTATCTAAGCACCACAAAAGAAAAAGCCAGTCACAGGTTTGGCAGAAGCTGCTGGAGACCCCAGAGCAGCTTCCAGTGTCTGAAGGGGCTACAAGGATGCTGGAAATGGGACCTTCATCAGGGACTGGAGCGATAGGACAAGGGGTGATGGGTTCAAACTGAGACAGGGGAGGTTCAGGTTGGAGATAAGGCAGAAGCTCTTCCCTGTGAGGGTGCTGAGGCGCTGGCACAGGGTGCCCAGAGAAGCTGTGGCTGCCCCATCCCTGGCAGTGTTCAAGGCCAGGTTGGACACAGGGGCTTGGAGCAACCTGCTCTAGTGGAAGGTGTCCCTGCCCGGGGCAGGGGTTGGAGCTGGAGGAGCTTTAAGCTCCCTCCAACCCGACCCAGGCTGGATTCCGGGGTTGAGCCGTACGGGAGAGCAGTGGCACTGCCCCCGCTGCTTTCTGTTATTCTGAAAAGGGAAATTTAAGAAGTTCATTCCAACTATTTTGGGGGGTTTTGCCTATCTCCAACTTCATGAAGCAAACCTCCCTCACGGAGAGCTCCCGGGACAAAGAAAGGGCGCAGGTCTGCACAAC